TTCAAGATTTTCAAATTTGAAATGTAATTGCGAGTTAGGGCTGTCAACGGGTCGGGTATACCCACCCGATAGAAAGGAACTGACCGGTCGGTTTTATCCCAACTCCAGTTGGAGACCGAATCTCCTACCCACACAATATAGCAGCGACACATGGCTCCTACTTAACATATAGCAGGGGGATAGATATGGACAGAATTCTCGTGGGCAAGAGATGGAGTCTAATAATTGAGTCGGAACGGGTTCTAGTTCTTCTCAAGACTCAAGCCCCTGAATCTTAATTCTCTACTGGAAGTCTGAAATTAGGGCGTCCTGGCTTCTAGTTTCAATGGTGAGCTTATTTCGTCGGCGATCTGTTCTTATTATGAAATCTGCTCCAGTGAATTTCTATACAACATCTACTGTATTATGAAATAAGGGTAACTTTTGGGTTTTATTATCAATAAAAATAATTTTTTTTAAATAATTTTTAGAATTGGATAATTTTTTTTTAAATATAAAAAAATAGGTAAAAACACTGTTGATCTCCTTTCTCCTTCAGACCATGGAACAATTATCTTTCTCTTTTCTCTTCTTCCTCCTTCCTCTTCTTTCTTTCTTCTTCTCTACATCTGAGTTTGGAGCTATGAGTTCTTTTAAAATAGTCCAGACAATTTTCTCTGCTTGTAGAACCAGCTTGCGATTAAAGCTTCGACGGAATCCGAAGCCTTTTGCTTCCGGTATAGACTATGCGCTCACTACGTGAAAAGATACCACTTTGAAAAAAAAAAACGAATATCACTCTGACGAATTCCCCCACGGCAGCGTACTCCCCCAGCACCCTAACGTCGGCACCGCACCTCAGGAATTGCTGAAAGAAGAGCCTGAAGCTGGTGCCCATAACGAATGCAATTGTCAATAGGCCCGAAACAGCCCGATGTAACCGCACCAGCTCACCAAAGCGTTTTTCGCCGGGATCTCCAATGTTAAGTAGAACCCATGGAGGATGAAGAACCACGTGATCTCCCATGTGGGCTCTAAACGCCCCAAATAAAAGATGATGAGTTCGTGTATCAGCCCCGACACCACGAACGTTGCCAGTATGGCTGGTAGTGAGGCCCATTTCCTTCCCGTTATTCGAGTGGCGAGGCTTCACGTAGGCTCGTATACGGTGGAGCGCAAGATATTGGAGGCCATGATATTTCCGTCTTCGTCCCCAGAAGTCCTGTAGTGAGTTGGAGAGGTAGGGATCTTTGAATTGTGCTTCCAGCTCCATACCAAGCAGGGCACGAGCCAGGTATGCGACAACGGCGAGAATGATTTCCAGGAGAAAGTAAATGTGGAGGCAGTAAAGTGCCAAGATGACCTTGGGATGCAGATACGGAGGTAGGGAGATTTTGTTCGGTGGTCTAAGGAGGAGGAAAGAGATGAACAAGGTTTTACCCTTTTTTATATATTTAAAAAAAAAAGTTACTCCATTTTAGAAATTATTTTTATTGATATTAAAACCTAAAATTGCTGCTCTTATCAGCTATGATCCCTTATTTAAACAACGATTCAATCTCCAACCATGCTTTGAAAAGGGGTTTACATAAATAATAACTCATAAATATTTAGCAATAATATTTAGCAATAAGGGCAAAATATAAAAACCTCCCCTAAATTTTCTGATAGTCATAAAAACCTCCCGTGTTTTGGCTGTATCAAAAACCTCTCCAATAGTTCAAAAAAGGATGTATAGTTACCTCCCTTTCATTATTTTTCAAACAAAAAAAACGCTCACGTAATGTATTACTTTTTCTAAAATGCCAGTTTTACCCTTAGGTATATTTACTAAAATACCATAAACCACATTTATCTTGGGATCGTAAAGAACATTTCTCCTCTTCTCTTTGTTTCACTTTTCCAACCTTCCAATTAGGGCTGTTCATAAGAAGACCCAACCCGACCAACCCGGACCGACCCAACCTAAATCAGTCGGGTTTTCTTCAACACTAATCGGTTTCGGGTTGTAAAAAATCATAAACCGATGGTTTGGGTCGGTTTCGGTTTTTATATGTGAAAATCGAAACTGACTCGAACCGAACCGACTTAGTAGTTAGTTCCTAGTTAGTATTTACAACCTACTTAGTTCCTACTTAACTAAGTTGTCTCTATCCTAGTTACAATCTAACTTAATTTCTAGTCTTCTAGTTAGGAATGACATTAATGGCAAGTATTGTAAGACAACCAGACAAGGAATTTTTTTGGAAATGTTTAAAGAAAAGAATCAAATGATCCTAGTTTTTATGGTCTTTTACACCAAATAGACAACCAATTACAATTAGAATTAGGTGTCCTTTTTTACTTAGATTAGTAGGTTTCTTGAAATATACAAATTTCAGTCTTCTTTCTCTAATACAGTTTTGACTTTCTATTTTCTTGATAACTTCTATTCTAACTTGGTCCGCCCCCTACCAATTTCAGTCTTCTTTCTCTAATAGAATTAGGTGTCCTTTTTTACATCAAATTTCAATATTCTTTCTCCAATCTACCAATTTATTACCATGGTTGAACTTAGAGCCGAAACCGACCCAACCTGACTCAAACTGACCAGGTCGGTTTTGCTTAACATAGGGTCAGTTTCGGTTTCAATTTCAGGTAACCCGACCAAGTYGGGCTCGGTTGAAAAAATCTCAATAAACCGACCCAACCCGACCCGTGAATAGCCCTACTTCCAATTAGGGATGGCAATTTTTCCCATCCCCAATGGGTACTTGATTTCCCTAACCCCAGTGAGTCAAGGATGGGGAATGAGGTCGCCACTCCACCCCGACCCCGATTATATATTAAATATATATTATGATACTATTTTATATTATTTATATATATATATATATCAAAATATATTTAAAATATTATTTATATTTAAATTTTTTATTTATTTTAAATAGATTTATTTTTTGAAAAATATTGCTAACTAAAAAATTTTGGGGATTTGGGTCCCCCCGTCAAGGATGGGGTGAAAAACAATTTTTATCCCCAATAGGGATTGGGGTCGGGGGCGAGAAAGAAAAAGTTTGCCACCGAATAAAACTATTAAAAATAATAAAACAAACAATTTGAATTCGAACTTCGAAGCAATCCAGTGTTGAATAAACCCACCTTGAAACTTCCAAAAACACAAATTTATTGGAGTCAAAAACACGAGGGAAGAAAGATGGTTCCGATTTGAAGCAAGTTATTAACGCGGTTTTGTTTCTTCAGCTGGAACCAAAATGACATTTCTCATATTCAATGATAGAGAAAAGAATGGGAAGAATTCATGAATAACCAACCAAGTGTAACAAGGATCCCATAGACCTCAAAAAGAAAGAAATTAATTCCTGTTTGCAAGAGAGATTAAAAATTCACGTACAAACTGAAGACTAAGGACCCCACAGATCACAGACTATGATGCCCATATAGAATGCATACGATGAATAAACCAATGGAGTGTGCGTTGTGCCATCTCTAAGAAAGTTGTAGAATGTTATGGATTCCATCTCCCTAACACAACTTGTTTATTGGGCAGAATCGAAATTCCATTCCCATTCCTGTTGGAATGGCATTCCCCCATTTAAGGGAATGGCCATTCACTGCCTCTCCCTTGGAAATGAAATTCCATTCCTACTGATTTTAATTATCATTCCCATTCCTATCTGAACCAAACAGATTATGGGAATGGATCATTCCGATTCTGATTCCGATTCCAATTCCGACTACGAACCAAACGGACCCCTAGTTTGGATTGGAAACCTTTAGAGACCTACTTAACTAAGCTCTCATTTCCTACAATTTTTTCTCATCAATATGTTGCATTTTCATGGATGGGATTACAATTTCTTTTCTAATTTCCTACCATTTACCACCCTTACAAACCATAAAAAAAAGGAATAGGGAAATATATAGTAGTCAGATTATCTATTTTGTCGACAATAGACTCAACTAGAGATCTCAAGCAACTTCACATTGTGTTTCTTCACCTCATCCTTTGGCATGATTATATAGTCAACATTCCATCTTCCATCGCCTCTCTCACTTGATCAACCTTTGCGATCTCTGATAACAAGAGGTTTGGAATCTCCTCAGGAACTTGCCACTACTCCATTAGATGCAATCCTAGTGTTGTTCTTCACCTCATTCTCATAGCTCCTCACATTGTTGATCTAGGCGATCCTTCCATCCTCAACCAACACTTAACCTCTTTCGTCTTCGTCTTAGGCAAGTTTGCCTTGAACATRTGAGTTTCCAAGATGGTGCGATAAAAAATTGTTGGGAAAGGGATCAAAGACGYTGGATTCATGTTGAAGATGCTCAAAATGATTGACAATTTTACAAGGAAACAAAGGCAAATTTGAGACTAGGAAGGTAAAGGAACAGATATGGAGAAATGAAATGGGGAAGATTTGGAGAAAAAAAAGGGAAAATTCTTGATTAGTATACTTTGGGCCTACTACCACTTTGGTCCCCAAATTTTAAAGCGCGACAATTCAGTATCCAAACTTTCAAAACTTGCCAATTTAGTATCTACTGTTAACCATCCGTTAAGTGGCATTTGAAAAGATACAAATGCCCTTTGAGTGTCATCTAATTCTCTTTATCAATCATCCAAATGTTGGCAAAAAATGAATAGTCCCAAATCTTTGCCTCTTCTATTCAAAAAAGTTTAGGTCATGTCTTAGTAGGCATTCTGGTGACCCCAACTTTCTTAAGTAGAAGAGGTGCGTTCATAGTGAGCAGAGGGCGGTTAGGGTTATACACAACAGGGATGCTTGGTAAGGTTAGGGGCACAATGAACTGCCCAATAGTGATAGAGGGGACCTCAATGTGCATGGCATGTTGGTCCTATCCCTTGTGGCTGCTTCATCAACATGTGTTTTGTTATTGACGTTGTTGACATGGGCCTTGCTAGAAGATGCCATCGAAGATGTAGTTAAAAAGAGAGTGTGGGAACAGGGCTTTTGTGTAGCGTATCCCATAAATGGCGCTAATTGATGATGCACAATCTGATAGCTCTCAATTGAAGGACAGCTCGGATGTTGAGCTATTGAGTTCATCGGGTCGAGCTGCAAGAAGAGCAAATCAAGGTGTCTGGATTGCTTGACTCGGGGTGGGCACTTTGATGTTTAAGTCAACGAAGAGTTTTGAGAGATCTAAAAAGTGAGAGAGCTAGAGAGCTAGTGAACTGTGAGAGCTAAATCGCACGTACATTTTCTGTGAATGGAGATACCTTTATATAGGCAAGCTACCATGGGGCTTACAAAACACGTTTGAGATCTTCGACCCATCTGGTTTGGAGGCAGTTTCACGCCCGGAGATGGGCTCTGCACAAGCGGGTAGCGTTTATCTAGTCGTGCCCTAAGCAGGTGGGGTGATAATTGGCTCTTCCGACATGGCGCCGTGATCTTAGGAAAGTCAGAGACAACAACTTGCTCATGGGGGAGGCCACCCGGCATGTCGGGTAGGTCGCTAGGTGAACTCGGTTTAGGTCGACGGAAACAGGTCGCCTCTTGCGCCGACCTGATGTCTTGCCGGGTCGTTCGCAGTCCGGCTTGCCGAGGTCGTCAAGGCAAGAACAAAGTGTCTGAGGTGATCCTGAGGTTTACTTACGTGGTGCTAAGATGTTATCTGACTATTTTGAGGTGCCACGCACCATCATGTCATTGGAGGGCCAAATCACCTCTCATCACTTTTATGGTTGGAGTCGCCCAGTAAGGGGGTAATGCACGACATGTAATCGTTCCATGTATTGTGGTCATGTAAGGGGATATGAAGGGGCTTTGGCCGATGACGACTCCACGCCACTAATCAAAGACTAAATGCACCTAGGATGTGCATCCACATTAAGTGCTCAATGAACCATTAAGGGCAGGAATTACTCAAGTGCCCTTAATAAAAACTCGCTAATCGATAATACCCCTGATCGATACCACACGTATCAGGATCCAACAAACCGACCATATATATCCACATCAACATACATGAATACATGTAAATAAGATTAAAGATAAAAGGATAGAAACAAACAACCTTATATCAATGCCAATACTTTGATTAACTTTTATAGTCTAGATGTCAATTGGCACCAAAGAGCTAATGTTGCATCCATTCCCAATCAACAATCATTAATATAGTTAGGGTTGTTCATGGGTCGGGTTGGGTTGGTTTATTGTAATTTTTCCAACCGACCCGACCTGGTCAGGTTACTTGACATAGAAACTGAAACCGACCCAGTGTTAAGCAAAACTGACCTGGTCGGTTTGAGTCGGGTTGGGTCGGTTTTGGTCGGTTTCGGTTCTAAGTTCATCCCTATGATAAAATCTTGCTAATTTTAAAAACAGTCATAAATTGAACATCATTTCAGCCATCTCCTATGATAAAATTTAAATGAAAAGTTAATCACAAAAGTTGTTCATTAATCACTATTCACTAATCTAAAGTTTCTTGCAACCATTCAAAAACTAGGTGGCCTAATGGGCTTTGGAACTTCATGTTTGAACTAAGTCGGTTTGGTTCGGGTCGGTTTCGGTTTTCTTGTGTGAAAACCAAAACCGATTGGTTTAGGAATTTGCACAACCCAAAACCCGATCAACTCGGGTTGGGTCGGTTTGGTCGGGTTGGCCCTTCTTATGAACAACCCTAAATATAGTGGTCCAGATACTAATAAAAGATTAGTTCCCACGTCACCCAAGTAGTGTCTGTTCATTAATTACACTGCCCCAGGCCTCAAACCACATCTTACCGTGCATTGAGAATATTTCCCGTACTTATGTGTTATTATTTATGGGAAATGCTTCCAATGCACGATGGGTTGTGCCTGTGAGGTCGGTGTGTGGCTCCTGTGTGAGAAATAGATCCCACCTCTGCTGGGTGCTGATTATAAAAGAAAAAAAGAAGATTTGATATCGTTTTTGCATGTGGGAACACAGCAGTACTTGTAAATCTGCGATGGGGTTTGAGGCCCCATGGTCCACAACTTGCCATTTGGTATTTGGGACTCTGGTTAAAAGTTGTCATGCCCAAAATCAGCATAATCATTAGATGATATTTAACCATAACATTTGTGAGACTTGTATTGCTAAGTTCATTATTTATGAGTTATGATAATGAATGAATGTTGGCATTAACGGCCTTTCCAACTCAAAAAGATGATATTTATCCTTCTCATTTAGGATTTACTGTTCAATTAAATTCAACAAACTTAAAAAAATGATATATGAGGTAGGGCACATCTAGGGGTGATCATTTCAGCCCGGCTTGGCCCTGGGCCCACATCAGGCCCGCAAATTTTAGGGTCGGGCTTGGGTTTAATACTTCAATCCCGGCCCGAGCTCGGGCTGGCTTGCATATATTTAAACTTACACATTTTGTGTATAATGTATACATATGTAAACATGTTATTTTACATTATATTATATATTTTATATATAAATATTATTACATGACATATAATTTATATTATATGTAATGTTTTATATATGAGTGACATTGGCCCGGAATCAGGCGTAGCCCGACCCGAGCTCGTATAGACTTGGGCTAGGGCTTATGTTTCAGGCTCGGCCCATGATCACCCCTAGGCACATCCCAGTATCCCACATTCATCTAGGGTGTGATCATTTCGGGCTTAAGCCTATGTTTTATGTTCAGTCCTGGCCCGGGCCCAGGCCCACAAATTTTAGGGCTGGGAATGTGTGTTTATACATGACGTATATATATATATATATATATATATATATACACACACACACACACACATTTAAGTTAAATTCTGTTAAATTAAAATTACAATGATAGGGTAAAATTATAAAAATACTCATGTTTTGATTCTCTATTTTTTTATCATTGTTTGTTTTTTTGCATTTAAACTTTAGGCCCAGTTTGAAAAAAAAATATAAATACAAATATGTACAATATAAATATATATGAAATAATATAAATATATGCGAAATAATATAAAATACAAGATTTTGTGTTCTACATATTTACATTTGCATTTGTACTCCTTCCAAACGGAGCCATAGATGCAAACCATCCATGAAAAAGTAAGCACGGGAAAGTGAGAACCCCAATGAACAATGAATAGACGAGATGAGCTTACTTTGATGTTCCAGGTTTGTAACTTTGTATCTGAAGTCCAAAGGTAGAGAGTAGGGCTGCAAGTTGGGCTGGGTTAGGTTAGGTTGAGGCCAACCCTATCCCAACCCTAAGTTCTAAACCCCTAACCCTAACCCTAATCCAACTTGACCAACCCAAACCTAACCCTAACCCTAACTAAATTCCTTCATCCATAACCCAACCTGAAGTCAATTTCGGGTTGGGTTGGGCCCAACCTTCTTCCCATCCCTTAAAACTTCATAGAATTTCTTGATTTTAGATCTTAACTCAACTTTCACTACATATGTTAATCCTATGTTTCATTAGTATTTGTTTGTTGACATTTTTCTTGTTCATTTGGTACAAAATTTAGAAAAACAAGTGTTAGAAATGACTATAGTTTATTATGAGTTATGAGTTATGATAGATCTTTTATGGGTGGCAAACAACAAAGAGGAGATGAAGAATAAAATTTTCAAAAAATATAAAATAATGTTATTAAGGTTTTAGTCTTTCTTATTAGGATTAAGTGAAGTGGTTATTTTAAAAAAAATACATGATACTAYGTGGTGGGGGCTATACAAATATCATGCATCTAAACAGATGAGTGTATGTTATATATTACATATAACATATATTTATATATGACATGTACTATAGAGTTGGGTTCGAGTAGGGTTGGGTTGCCTAAGGGGTCAACCTTAACCCAACCCAAAGTAAAGTTGGATTCATGAGTTTCAACCTTAACCTTAACCCAAGCATCAACCCAATCCAATCAAACTCAATTTTTTCGGGTGGGGTTGGGGCCAACCCAGCCCAAGTTGCAGTCTTAATAGAATAGAGGGAGATGAATAATAGTAGTGAAAAAAAGATAATGAAAAGAGGGTTTTTTACTAATTTTACCACTCAGGCCCTCACTGTAATATTAATTTAACTAATTGGAGTTCAATGTATATGTATTATGTATAAAAGTTCTTTTTTCATTTTATTTGGTACCAAGTATATGTATAGAAGTTCAGGAACTAAAACAGTGCATGTGAAAGGCCCTAAAGTGACACTACCCATCTTGTAATATGATAACTATCTGGAATTTACCCTAAAATAATCTACATTGATTTCATTTTTTTTTCTGGTCATAGGTCCCTCTCAGTCTTTTTCACTTGGATCATCACTTGCTCACTGAGCACTTGTAGTTCTTCTGCTAGCATTGCTCAGATTCACCAATGCCGGGCATTTGAGATGGCTTCAAATCGATGAGAACTTCTATTTCTCTTCTACTTCTGGTTTTCCGTCAGAGTGAGCATTACCAGCTTATTCGTTTCGAGAAGCCCAGAAAAACGCATCCCTTCTCATCAATGGAGGCGGCGTTTTTCTTGGCCTAGATTGGATTTCCTCGAGTACTGGGTTCCGAGTTTCTTCTTTGATCAATCTGGGTTTTGGTTTGATCTTCTGGGTTGGTATCTGCTTCTCCAATGGCAGCCTCCTCTGTTGCTTCTCCTCTTTGTACGTGGCTCGTCGCTGCTTGCATGTCGGTTGCTTACGAGAAAGAATACTCTCTGAAGCCTTCTTCCTTTCAGTCTTCGAAGAGATTGAGCAGGTGGGCTATGAGAAGGAAACTTGTCTCGAAATGTAGTGCTGGTGGCCATGATTTTCCAGGAAACTTGATTTCGGCCTTCTGTGGATCGAGTATTCAAGGTCTAATGAGTTCTTGTTTGGCGTTCGAGCCGTGCGAGGAGTATTATAGTTCCAAAGGTCTGTCTTCTTTGGCATTCTTTGGTGACAATGGGTTCTCGCTGTTTGGGTCTAGGAACGGGCCAATGACTCGTAGGCAAAGGCGAATGAATCGAAGCGCTCACTCTGGTAATCGGTTGTTTATTTTATTCTCTGTGCCGCTGTACTTTAATTAATTTTCATTTGTTTTGGACCGTTTGGTTGAATTAGAGGTCATGTTTGAGCTTTTAATAATTGATCTATTCCATTACCAGACCCTAATCCAATATATATGAAGCTTGTTTTATGTAATCCAGTCTTTATATATTTTGCCTATTTTTATATAAATGGAGTAGTCTAATATGCCTTTTCAACTCCTTTCGGTGGTATTTGGTTTAATGGTTTATCAAGTCTTAACATCTGCTGTTCAGTGAAATTTGGCATTGTTTTCAGAGAGATGTCTGGATGCAATTATTGAGATGTAACTCCTGAGGACGTTTTCATCCGATTTAATAGTGTTTCCATATCTTAAAGGTTCCTGGATTATTCATCAAAGTAAGGTTATCAAAAGAGGTTTGGAATGGTGACCTTAGTGCTGAGATTTTTTTCATCGCCCTTAGTTTTTCTTCCCGCTCCCCCTTGTTTCCCATCAATTGGGCAAGGTTGTATTACTGAAGGAGAACGGGGAATTCATGACACTATTACTAGTTCCTCGAATAGGCTCCCTACATGGAGCAAACTCCCACAAGAGAAATAACTAATAAAGCATTAGCTTTATTCATCAACTCAACATGCTTTCTCTATTACAAAAGAGGCCTTATTCATAGACTCAGTTCACTTTGGCTCCTTTTAGAAAGGAGGAAATCCTTCTTTTCATGGTGAACACCAGAACCACAAGAAAGTACATAAAGCAAGCAAGAATGAAAATAGAACTCCTATAAACTTGAATCTCATCACCAATTGAATCAAGCCCAGTAGATATGTTATCCCTTGGATAGATAACTGAAACCCTTKCTATTAAATCAAGCCCAGTAGATATGTTATTAATTTTGACTCCTATTAGGATTGACATACAACTCCAGTGCTCTGTAATAGGATTCTAAAACCAACTAAAACTAAATTCTAACTGACAAATCTATTGTGTAATTATGAAGAACAATATTGGGTTCTTATGAGATCCATATAACCGAATATAGCTATCTTGTAGTTTGATACCAACAATACCAAGAACCAACCATGTTAAGAAATCAAAGTTATCTTTTTTTTGAGAAAAGTTAACAATTTTATTGAAGAAAGGAGAGGTACACAAGAGTGTGTACAAATACAAGAGAGGGGCGAGTTCCCTGAGAATTACACAGGAGGGCAGGAATCACAGTACAGAGACTCTAGAATAACTCCTAATATTGCTAGACCATCTGCCATTACATTTAGTTCCCTTGGGATCCAGGTTAGAGAAACATTCAAAGGAGCCAGGAGGTCCCTTGCCTCTGATAGGAAGTGACTAAGTTTCCAAGGTCCAGTTTCCTGTTGTTCCAACCATCTTATAGTATTGGCTGAGTCACATTCAATTGAGAAGCTTTGGATACCCAATTTGCTGACTAGGCGAATCCCTGTTAGAGCTGCTAACACTTCTGCCTTTGTTGAGTCTGCTATCCCAATCGGACGACTATAAACCCAGCATGTGTGGCCATTCTCATCTCTTAGAATTCCTCCAATACCGGCAGCTCCGGGGTTACCATAAGCACTTCCATCAAAGTTGAGAGTCCAGATTSCTTCCCTTCTAACTAAAGGAGCTCTGGTAGAGAGTGGGGTAGGAGGGGAAGAAACCAGGAAGTTATATGTGTTTCTGCTGAGATCATTGAGACTAACTCCTATAAACTCCTCCGAACTAGAGGCCCACAAGTTGCAGTAGTGGTTGATGTGGCTGATCAGTTCACCTTTAGATTTGGATCTATTTTCAAACAGCCGATTGTTTCTTTCCTCCCAAATTCCCCAAAGAACAGCGTGCAGTATTATCAACCAATAGGTCCTACCTCTCTTGCTCAGACCTATTCCTTGCCACTGAGAAATCAGATCCTGCAGATGCTTAGGAGCCACCCAACTGAAGCCGATTAACTGGAGAAAGAAGTTCTAGATGCTGCTAGCTACTTGGCAGTGTATGAAGAGGTGGTCTGTTGTCTCTCCTTCACATAAGCATAGTGTACAGACGTGAGGGGAGAAATCAAAGTTATCTGGAGTTCATAGGATTTGTCATGACTTTTTATTTTTGCCCAAGGAATATTGGAACTGTGTGGATGCTCCATCATCAGAAATTACGAGACAACAGATTAACATTTGAGAGGTTACAATTCTTTTTTCAGCTAACGAGATGATGAACCAACCAAATATTGACAAGGATGCCTATATGCACTAAGAAAATGGAGTGCCCCTTGAAAGGAGAATTTGATCCTTATTGGCTCAGACCAACTTTGCCTAAAAGGGTGGGATTTGCATGAGCTCTTTTAGTACACCTCTTGACCTCCCAAGTAGGCATCAGAATCACATTCTCACATCCTAGCTGTTAAAATGAAAATTCTCAGGCATTTAAATATCTTCTAAATAAGACCATATCTTCTTAGTTTTACTGACATTGAAATTTTTCACTGATGCATCTCTTTTTGTGTGTTGAAATAAATGTCCTTAGAGAATTCAAAGCCTCACATACTACCTCTCCTAACACTATCTATATAGTTAGTTGAGAGAATATATCTAAAAATTCCCAAACTTTGTAACCATACGCTTGTTGTCTCAACAAGCTTTCTGCCTCTTCCCAATTCTCACAACCACTTGCAAGTGAGTGTGTTTATTAATTGTTTTCATTGTTGGAAGGCCTGGAGTTCGTGATTCCTTGAGGCTAATTACCTTGCTCCACTCCAAGTTCTTTCTATCCTGCTTTCACATGTCCAAAGAAGCAGGACCTGGAGTTGAATTGAATTGTTGTTGGAGTGTCAAAGTTGAAAAGCTCCAAAATTTGGTCAACTAACATCCTTGGGGACTCTCTTGCAAGGTGAATGGATCAGGCTGAGTTGTACATGGGTTCTGTCCTGGTCAATGTTTTAAAAGGTGTGGGAGGCGTGTTTCTAGGCAAGGTGCTCTCAAAACGTCCCAAGGCCCATGCTGGAAGTGTTTATGCTTTTGAGGTGTACACCTCAGGTGCATGAGGCTTGCCAGAGGTGCATGCCTCATGTGACTCATGCACGCTTCATACATAAAGAAAAGAAAGGGAAGGGATAAAAGAAAGAAAAAACAAGAAAAGGAAAAACATCTTTCAAGAAAGAAACTAGAAAAACAAAAACTCCTCCTCCTTCCTTCTTCCTCTTCCCCTCCAGGTAGTGGAATGCCTTGCGTCATGCCTCCCTATTTTGAATTGGTCCCGGTGGGTACTGGGTAGATATTTTGTGTATTTTCCTCTTGTTTTTTGTTATGTTTGGGATAGCCTAAGCCCCTAGACTAGGAATGTATTTTTATTCTGTTTCCCTTCTTCTTTGAAGTTGTCTGGTTGGATGCCTCTTTCTAGGGGAAGTCTTTTCTTATCCACCTTCTATCAAATCTGCTTCAGATTTAGTTTCTGAACTAATATTACATCTGATTCTTTAGGAAGCATATATAATTATGTTGCTAATGATGGTGGATTAGATTGTGATATCCCAGCTTGAAATAGCTAAGTTGTCCACATGAAGGAATGGAACAGAAAAATAAACTGGCTATCTCTTTAACATTTGATACTATACGTTGCCAATCGTGGCCTTTCCTACTGGTCAGGTTTGGTGGTTAACTACTTGTTGTTGCAGGAAAAACCATGGCTGTAGCTGTACAACCTGCAAAGGAAGTCACAACAAAGAAGAAGCTTCCTACCAATAAAAGGAAAGTTGTTGTAACAGGGATGGGTGTGGTGACTCCAGTTGGTCATAATCCAGATGTCTTCTACAATAATCTGCTTGAAGGAATTAGTGGCATAAGTGAGATAGAGGCATTTGACTGTGCCCATTTTCCAACGGTATATTGTCATAACTAATCTTTCTTCTACTGAAATAAGTGGCTCATTTTGATCTTGATGCTAGTTCTTGTTATAGAGAATTGCTGGGGAAATCAAGTCTTTCTCAACAGATGGATGGGTTGCACCTAAACTTTCTAAAAGGGCAGACAAATTCATGCTGTACATGCTCACAGCTGGCAAGAAAGCCTTGGCAGATGGTGGAATTACAGAAGATGTCATGGATGAATTAGATAAATCTAGATGTGGGGTTTTAATTGGCTCTGCAATGGGTGGCATGAAGGTAAACAGCCTTTCTTTCTTTCTTTTTTTGATAAAAAACAGCCTTTCTGAAGATAGGTGAATTGTAATACTTGAAAATGGATAATAAAAAAGAAAGATTCTTGCAGGCTGAAGATGCATCTAAGCATATCAGTTCTAACTCTCTCTCTCTCTCTCTCTCTCTCTCAATTCTACATGACTTCATAAGGGCCTCAGTTATGTTTCATGTTTGAAGTGATGCAACAAAGAACAACATGAAACTGAGGCTTCCTTTCCAAATCATGTGGCTACTTGATCATTTTGATGGCATACCTCTATGTTTTTTTTTGAAAAAGATGGTAACTTTATTAATGAAATAGAGGGTACATAAGAAGATGTACACAGAAATTACAACTCAAGAGTTAAGTAGGAAGAGAACTATCACTAAACAAGACATCCCTGTGAGCACCAGCTTTTGCTAGACCATCCGCATCAGTGTTTAGCTCCCTAGGGATTGAACCCAGCTGTGCATTTAGGTTGAGAAGGATATCCCTTGCTTCAGCCAAGAAATGAGCTAAAGCCCATGGACCACTGCCAGAGTCAGCTAGCCACTTGATGGTATTTGCTGAATCTCCTTTTATGGTGATGTTCTGAAAACCCATATCTCTTGCAATCCTGATTCCAGTTAGTGCTGCCATAATTTCAGCCTTTGTTGAAGAGACTATCCCAGATCTCTTGCAATCCTGAATCTCCTCTATGTTAAGGCACTTCTGACCGTAAGCTGCATCTTATTTTAAATTGCATCATGTGCAGTGTTGCATGGACATGGGCATTGCCCAAGAGTCTGACTTGGCAAGATGAGAAAACATGGACTCATGCCTCATGGACATGTCCATTGAAAAGTATATAATATTAAAATAACTAATTCTTTTTTGAATTCTAACATTAGATACCTACAAAAAAAATGTTGCCTTTGTCACTAAGTGATAGTTAATACGAAAAATAGATTCATATTGTAGATTAGCTGTTCGTTTTTGTAAAGTTAGCTAGGAGATACAAAGGAAATGCCATGTAGAAGTGAATCCAAGAAATGCCGGACTCAGATGCATGTCTGACACTGACACATCCATTTAGGAGAGTCCATGAAACACTGTTCATGTGGTAATTATATTGTTCCTTTGACTAGTAAAAAATAACATGGGCTAATTACTAATCTACCACAGAAATCTTCTAGAAAAGAAATGATCCAGAGCTCCCTAAATGTGTCCCATATTAGCCACTGATATGTAGATTTTGAAATTCATTTTCTCTGTTTGTCTGGAAATGCTACCACATCAAAACTTTCGCTGAGCAAGAAAATATTTCTTCAAAATTTGCCAGTACTTATCCTTATTGGGCCACTGGTTTTTCTTTGTCCAGGTCTTTAATGATGCAATAGAAGCTCTAAGAGTTTCATATAAGAAGATGAATCCCTTTTGCGTACCTTTTGCTACTACAAATATGGGCTCTGCAATGCTTGCTATGGATCTGGTAATCTTGAAGCTAATACTGCAGGAACACGTCCATGATGGATACTTAAATTATGGATGCAATCCTTTTAGTTGTTTATTTAACTACACAACTGCAGGGATGGATGGGCCCAAATTATTCAATCTCAACTGCTTGTGCAACAAGCAATTTTTGTATACTAAATGCGGCAAACCACATTATCAGAGGTGAAGCTGTAAGTACCCATTGTAATTATCTCATTTAGTAGAGGCCATGTGCTAGTTTTCTCTGTTCTGAGTTCTGACTATACTGTTAGACCTGTTTATCGTCATCATCATCATCCAAACCTTATCCCATTGGCTACATGAATCCTGTTTTGCCATTTAGTTCTGTTTAATGCCATACCCATCGTTAAATTATGAGTGCTTAAATCATTTCTTGTTACTAAAATCTATGTCCTTTTTGGTCTACCCTATCCCTTTTAGCCCCTTAAACTTGCAACAGATCACTTCTTACTGCTTAGACCTGTTATTTCTTCATTTTCCTTATTCAAATAAAAAATAATTATAAGCTAGAGTGAAAAAAATAATTTTATCATTTGTTGATAGACTAGCCAGATAGGGTGTTTGTGATATGTTTACACTGGGGCAATTAATTGATGAAGGTGTCAGTCTTGTAAATTTTCCCTTCCTGTCTGAGGGTATCCTTCCTTTTTGTGCCCATCTCTCATTATGATCACTTTTCTTTTGTTGATAAAAATTTACATTTTCTCTAATCTCTATCTCTGCCTAAATTTGTTTGGAGCCTGCAGGACATGATGCTTTGTGGTGGTTCTGATGCAGCAATTATACCTATTGGTATTTATTTCTTCTTTCTCTTTGTTGATGTGTGTAAGACGTAATCAATTTTAGTAACCATAGTGTCATTGTTTTCATTATGGTTTTTTTTTTTTTTTTTTCTGCAGGCTTGGGAGGTTTTGTTGCATGCAGAGCACTCTCACAGAGAAACAATGATCCAACTAAAGCTTCGCGCCCTTGGGATATTGTAACAATAACTCAACTTTATTCTTTTTCCTTTTCAAGACATATACAAATAAATTCATGAAGTTCTGATTCTATATATATATTTGAAAAGAGTTCTGATTCAAAATATGGATCAGTCAATATGCAAAATATGAAGTTCTGATGGGCAATATATTGTAAATTATCTAGTAAACATAGTAGTGGGTTTCTAATAAATTATCCAATGATTTTTTGAGTTAAGAAAATATAGGGTTATTTTGGTTGAGAGACAAAAAAGACTTCATAGAAATGGGTGAATTTTGAAACTATTCTGTAGTTAAACTTTTGCTTGTTGGATCTATCAATTCCCAGCACAGTTAGTGTACTAATTATAACTCAGAAAAGAGTCTTGGACGGAGGGGCATGAAGCCTCAAGAGTTGCCGCATGGGCTTCTTGTGGGGAAGCAGTGTCTTGGGTGGAGAAAGGGTTCATGGAAAAGTCGTGGGCTGGTTTGAACTCTGAGGAGACCTTTAAAGAGCGCGAGAACAGGAGAACCCGTTTGCTTATTGGGGAGGTAAGTATTGATCTTCATGCTTTGCTTGTGAGGGGGAGGTTGTTGAGATAGGGTCTTTGCTGGTCTTGAATTATAAGAAAGCGGTAATGCATTGACAGAAGATTTCATTCTGTTAGGCACTGAAGGAGTGGGTATTGTTGGTCAAAATGGTGATGGTTTGGTGGAGGTCTGAGAGGGGAAATGTGAAGTGAGTTTGTTGGCAAGAAATGCATGTTCTGTTTCCTCTTTGAATGGTTCTTTGAAGGCTGAAGCGCGGATTGGGGATGAGACAGAGAGGATGTTGAGGCTGCAATCAGATGGTGTTGCTAGAGACTTGGAAGATGTTGGTCCAGTTAATGTTGCAGAAGTTGTTTTTGGTAGACTGGGTAAAGATCTGGGTAGGAAAAGAAAAGAGGATGGGAAGTGCTTGCTTTTAAAAAGGGGATAAAGAGGGTTGCAAGATTTTGATAAACCCAAAAAAGATGAAGAGTTCAAAAAATAGTCAGTTGGTGCATGTGAATGTGATGAAGGTGTTTTCTCAGTTGAAGGAAGGTGTTTGTGGCGCTGGCCTGTCTAATAAATTTAAAAGGGGGTATAAGAGAAAGAAATGTAAATGAAAAGGTAAAATGGGGGTGCCAAAGGAGTCTCGGTTTAATCAAACTCATGATTTAGGTTTGGAGGAGTCTGAAGGTGTTCTTGAATGCCAAGTCAACAATAGTGATCAATCTTTGGATCAAGAGGCAGGGGAAGATGGTTCTAAAGCTAGAGTGGGGATCGAGGATATCACTGTTCAGGCATCTGGGGTAAGAAAATATAAAAGTCAACCTTTTGAAGATGATAAAGAAGAAGATATGGGTTCAGCTGATTCACCACAAGAGAGGGAAGTGGAATTTGACAAAACTTATGCTGTTCAGAGAAGGATAGAGTTGGAAGAAGTTGTTAATAAGGAGGTGGAGGTGTGCAAAATCTTGGGTTTACGTTTTATAGGTGATGATTTTGCAAGGAAAGTTTTTAGAGAAATGAAAGAAAATGGAGGACAAGGTTGGGGAAAGAAGAAATCAGATAAAGAAGGGGAAGGGAGTGACATTTGAAGAATGATCCTTTTTGTGTTTTGTCTGGGAATGGGAGGAGTTGTTGTTGGGTGGGTGGAGTCTTTTTTCATTGTGTAGGGGAGCTTGTGGAATTTGTTTTTGTATGAGTGTCTTTAGGGGTGCTCTTTTCTTTTTCCTTGGGGTGATTTCTTATCTCCAATTGTTTTTTTGGATAATTAACAGAATTTTATTAATGATAGCATAAAGTACAATAGAAAGGAGGGAGGGGTAAAATCTTTTAACCCTCCCCGAGAATGATATTCATATTACAACAATGCCCAAAAAAGACTATCTCTTCCCACCCCTTGTTTGGCAAGTGAGTCAGCAAAGGAGTTTGCACTTCTCTTAATCCATTGAAACTTAATTTCCATGCCTTGAGTCAGCTGTTTAAATTTCTTTTTTTTTTTCATTTAAAAATTTCCAGAATCCCATCTCTTCATTCTGCAACCATTCTATTGTTGTATCTCTTTCTTTTTCCTTAATGAATTTTCTTTTTTATTTATCTTGTAAAAAACTCAGAAAGAGTCATAACCAACAAGCATCACATTTATTTCTCTGGACTGGAATCTATCACACTACTGGTGCAGCTTGAACTCATCAAGGGAAGCAGTCTGTCAGTCTGATAGAGGCTTGTGAGGTCACAAGTCACAACCTAAAATTGAATGCTTGTAGCCCACCCTTTTATAAAGTACTAGTGTCTAGTGATAGTATTTTATAGTTTGTTTGTTCTTATATGTTTACTAAAACACAGGAAGGGGTTTGTGATTGACAGAATCGTGATGGATTTGTCATGGGAGAGGGAGCTGGTGTCCTGCTTTTGGAAGAGTTAGAACATGCCAAGGTTCAGTTCCACTTAGTGTTGTTTTCTTAAAAGACTACATTAGAGATGATCACTTGAATATTTTATTTTGTCATGAATATTTTTCCATTTTAAGTTCTTTTTCTCTGGTTCTACAGAAAAGAGGTGCAAGTGTATATGCAGAATTTCTTGGTGGAAGTTTCACATGCGATGCTTATCACATGACTGAACCTCATCCTGATGGTATTTAATCAAATATTTTTTACCATGATAAGCTATCTTTATAGAAAGTTGCAGTATTCTGAAAATGCAGGGACACCTATATTTTCATCCTTCTTTTTTATTGCCTTGTTTGTACCTATTATTTGTATTTTACTTGTTTCATATAATGTAATTCTATTTATTTATGTATGCTCTTTTTTATATAATATCTTTATATGAAATTGTGAACTAAGAATTATGTAACTATGTATAAGACTAGTCCATTGGGTTTCGTGGGGTGGGGGGAGGCAGGTACTTTGTTTTGTATTTGTACTTGATATCTAGACGAAGGCATATTCAATGATGGTTATTACCTTCTTCCATTTGTAAAAACAGGGGCAGGTGTTGTTCTGTGTATAGAAAAAGCCTTAGCCCAATCTGGGGTGGCCAGGGAAGACATCAATTATGTAAATGCACATGCTACATCAACACAATCTGGTGACCTAAAAGAGTACCAAGCACTTATTCACTGTTTTGGTCAGAATCCTGAGGTAATAAGCTTGTTTTTGTTTTCTAGTTTTTTATTCCATAATGCAATTATATTCAGAGTCACTGTATTCTATGTTTGAGCATACTTTGCAGTTGAGAGTGAACTCCACAAAATCCATGACTGGTCACCTACTAGGAGCAGCAGGTGCTGTTGAAGCCGTTGCAACGGTGCAGGTAAAGAAATTTTAAAATTGGTGAATACTTGTACTTTGAATTTGTACGTGTCATGGAATGCTGCAATTTTGTATATTTAATTCATGAGATGGCTAAATAATATGTGATTATCAGATGCTTGTGAGTAATTACCACTAAACCATAATGTTAAATTTCCTAGGCTACAAGGGGCAATAATATTTTATCATCAGATGCTTGTTGTGGAATACTTATACTTCCAAATTTGTACATGTCATGGAATGCTACAATTTTGTGTATTCAATTCATGAGATGGCTAAATAATATTTGATTATTAGATGTTTGTTGTGAGTAATTACCACTAAACTATAATGTTAAATTTTCTGGGCCACAAGGGGCAATAATTCTTGATCATGAGATGCTTGTCATGGAATACTTCTACTTTCTGAAGTTGTACAAGTTATGGAATGCTACAAATTTGTGTATTTAACTCATAAGATGGCTAAATAATATTTGATCTGTTATCAGTGTAGTGATGGAAGAGAAAAGAAGAGGAGAAGAGAGAAGAGAGAGAGCAGAAGAGAGGAGAAAAGATTGAGAGTCAAAAAGCTTGCTGGCAGCGCCAACTATTTTGTTATATATACTAGGGCGACAACAACTAAAATAATAAAAGGGTAAAAGTACAATAGTACCCTTGCGGTACTATACTTGGGAAAATAAAAGCTTTCAACACTCCCCCTCAAGTTGGGACATAGATGTCAATCATGCCCAACTTGTCACATAAATCATGATGCCGTGAGTGGTGTAGCCCTTTTGTAAAGATGTTTGCAAGTTGATCCCCAGAGTTGACATAAGGAGTACACACTTCCCCTGTGACAACTTTCTCTCTAATAAAGTGTTTGTCCGACTTCGATGTGTTTAGTTCTATCATGCAGCACGGGATTAGCAACAATGTTTATGGTTACTTTGTTATCACAGAATAGGGTCATAGGTATGTTCATTGGAAAACCCAACTCACTCAACAGATTCTTTAGCCACATAATTTCAGCCACTCCATGAGCCATTGCCTGATATTCAGCTTCAACACTGGATCTAGGTACCACATTCTGCTTTGTGCTTCTCCTGGTAACTAGATTTCTTCCTATGAAGGTACAATAGCCACTAGTTGACTTTCTGTCATTTAGGGATCCTACCCAATCTGCATAAGTGTACACTTCAACTTTCAAATGTCTGTGCTTTTGAAACAACAAACCAGCACCTGGGAACTTCTTAAGATATTTGAGAACCCTTTCTGCTACTTCAAGGTAAGTGGTCTTGGGAGAATGCATGAATTGGCTAAGAACACCAACTGCATAAGCAATGTTGGGGCGGGTCATAGAAAGATATAACAATCTTCCTGTAAGTCTCTGAAACTGTTTCACATCCTTGATAGGTTCACCTTGGCAGTCACCTAATTTGTGGTTAGGATCAATAGGGGAATCAACTGGCTTCACTCCCAATTTTCCTGTATCATGGAGTAGATCTAGGACATATTTCTTTTGGGAAATGAAGATACCCTTTTGTGAGTAGGCAACTTCAATTCCAAGGAAGTATCTTAGAGGACCTAGATCCTTTACTTCAAATTGTGTAGCAAGAAAAATTTTCAACTTTTGGATTTCATCATTCCAATCGTCAGTGATAATTATATCATCAACATATACTATAAGAGCAGCAATTTTTCCTTCCCCTCTTTTCACAAACAATGTGTGATCAGATTGACATTGCTTGTATCCTTTCTGCTTAACCGCTGCATGGAACTTGCTGAACCAGGCTCTCGGTGATTGTTTCAGCCCGTATAA